ACCTAAGAGAAGTCCGTCTGCCAACGATCCGACCTGCAGAGGTTGAAGAAAGCAGTAACATTGGAGGGGCTGGACACAGTCAAGCCTCAGCTGCTATCCTGGCGCCAAACGGTGTACGCGACGGCCTACAGCGGCAACGGAGGTACTAGTTTGTGCCCGGATGAGGTCCTTGTGACTGTTCTCCCGGTCAATGGACCTACCCGACAAGATGCTCTAGCTGCAATCAGGGCGTTCAAGTTGAACATGACCTTACGCCATAGCAGCAGCAGCCGGCAAGTGGTGGATTTCTATTTTCTGGTGCCGGCTGAGGGTGGTGACCAGAATTTTGTGGACCCCGCACCAATCAGGGGACCCAATTATATCCCGGATCTCAATGTCTTGCCATCGGATGCGATGGAGCCGGCGACGGAGTTCGTCGGAGAAATAAAGAGCCAGAACATCTCTCAGTTCATTGATTACGTGGTGTCGTACCTGGGCGAGTACGAGAGTGATGACAAGGTGGTAGAGTACAAGAAGATTCTGAGCAGCAAAAGTGAATCCGAAATCAGAAACCTTGATTCGATTCGTGTCTGGAATATTCTCACCATGGGAACCGAAATTCAGAAGGCGCTCGTTGCGAAAGGCCTCGTTGAGGCTCCAATTGGCAGGATTTTGGTCGTGACCGCAATGGAGGAGATGGGGGGTTAAGGGTTTTGGGGGGAGATTGAGGGGTTTAAGGTTGAGGAGAAATATAAATGGGGTTTGGAGTAGATGGATTTCATAATTTTATCTAATAATCCGATTATGTTCCGAATTTGTTAGCGGAACATAATATAGTATATGAATGTGGGTATATCCGATCTGTTTTGATATAATATAGTATTTATTTAATTTTTATAATAAAATATATTGATAGATTAATTTGTTTACTTTTTTATATTTTAAATTCAATGTTTTAATTTGATATTCAAATCCCTAAACCCAACTTCGCAGCCCGAATAATAACCTCTCTTCCACTCAATATTATCGTTCTTCTCTCGCTTCAGCCGCCTCCATCTTTTTTCTTTTTTCTTTTTGGACAAATTTGTGTATAAGAACATTTACCACTATTCTAATATTACTTGAATAAAAGAATAAAATTGTTCTATTTACACTCTTGCACATGCATTTGCTTAAGCTCCATTGTTTTTTCAATGGAATTACATTTATTTATTTATTAATATCCATCTACTTTATTTTATTGGTTGAGAAAAGGCAATAAGCAATGACCATGCTTAGTTACTTCTAAGCCACACCCAATAATACTCATGTCTTTAATTTTCTCAAATAACTAAAACACTTGATACTTGAGGATTTCCCACTGTTTGTTTCGTTGACAGACAGGAAGGAAGGAGAATCAAATTTTCAACTGTTTGTTCACTTTTTTTTTTTTGCTTAAAATAATAATAATAATAATATATGCGATGAATTTGTCTTGGTGTGGTGAAAACGATCCTAAGTACTACAATGACCTCCAGGAGACTTTCATCGTCCGAATTTGATGGAGCTTTTCTGAATGAATTAGATGATTGACTTGAAAAGGCTCGGAATGATGTACTTCAAATAAACCTGGGAAATAAACATGTCAAATTTGAGAATCCTAAAGTTGGGGTATATATCTTATCATGATGACTTTGACAAATGGTTGCTGGTATATTTTATTATCCGATTCAGATACGTTATGTATCATTTCCTTGGCTTGGTTGCTACTAGCGCTGTTGTTTGTTAGCAAGAATAAGACGGTTTCTACCCTATGCATGTGTGTATTATTTTCTCCCATATCTCTAAATTGTTTATCTATATTATTTTTTCAATGAGAAATCGGGTTTAAAAATGATGCGAAGCAAGAAATAACAATTTATCGACAACATTTTCTGTTTAATATTTTCCTAATTCATTGCTTAATTTTGGCTTGTCATTGGTGGGTTCTTTTCCCTTTCTTTTTCCCGGTGGGGCTTCAACACGTTTCCTTATCCGTCACACCCACACTCTACCTTGGCGACGTGGCGGTATAAGGACCGTTCACCTTGGTCCTTTAGGCGCACGAGCCTTATTACAACACACCATATGCGCTGGTCACGTGGCAGTTGGAATTTCTCATTTCCCAATTCCAGTACTCCTTCTTCCTTGCGTTCAAAGTTTTCATCTTTGAGCATGCACAGTGGCGGACGCAGGATTACGTCGCCATGGGGTCATAGTGTTAAGTTTCGGCGGCCTGTAGTGGTTGGTGGTGGAGGTTGGGGGGATTAGTTAGGTTTTTAGAGGAGAGGGAATTTTGAAAAAAAAAAATTAGGTTTTGGGATGAATTGAAATGCTGCTGCTGGGAATTAGAATCGGGTAGATAGGGGCTGCTGATGGGTTTTTTTTTTTTTTAAACCTGGCTTCAAAACGATGTCGTTTTGAGCCAGGTTTTTAAAAAAAAAATTAACACGCCTGGACCAAAACGGCGTCGTTTTGGCCAGGCGGCTTTAAAAAAAACAGAAGCACGCGCGCGCGCAAGGCAGGCGCTGCCTGCGCAAACTTCTTCTTCTTCCTCTGCTAGGCATTTCATCGAGCACTTGGTGTGCGCCATGGGGTCACACACCAGCCAGCCATGGGGTCACACCATTCCTCCCCCACTGCAATTCCCAGCTGCCATGGGGTCAACTGACCCCATTTGTCCCTCTGTGCATCCGCCCCTGACTACAGTGATACACCTTTCTAGATCTCTCCATTAGCAACAAGCATATTCTTTCTTCTTCTTAGAGCGATTCAGCTGCCAGCTTATATTATTTATTAAAATAACAAAGTCTCTGTCTTATTAAAATAACAAAGTCTCTGTCTTTTCCACACTTCTACTTTTCCTCATTGTTTCACCCTTACTGCATATACAATAGAAGCATGTAGAGAGTTTTATAGAGGCACCTCATTTCCATTTCTTTCTTGGTTTTGCATTTTTCTTTTTAAAAGTACCAAATTAGTAAATATACCATGATTTATTCATCAGTTTCTTCTGAAAATCCATGGACAACAATCAGCCCAAAAGTCCTCAGACCTTCAACAAAGCAACGTCCTTTTCACTTAAGGGAGCTTCTATAATGAGGAGCTAATTTGAGGAGGTTATGTGAGGAGACCCATCTCACCATCAAAAGGGGTGTGGATCCCCCAATGCACCCCCCCCCATGTACTTTGTTTTTAGTTATTGATGGTGAGATTTCACCTCCTCAAATAACCTCCTTAAATTAGCTCCTCATTCTAGCCTTTCCGTTCACTTAAATCCTATCCTTAGTTTTCATTGCCAAAACCCAGACACCATTAACAGCCCAAAACCCAACAGAACAGAACCCAAAACCCACCTCAGAAGCCCATCTTGATAAACCCAACTCAAGTTATTTACAGAAAAACCAAGAGGAGCAGGATTCATGAGGAAAGAAGATGCTTTCCCCAGCTGGGTGGCCAGCAAATGTTGTGTCTTAAATGTTAAGTCATATTGTTTGTGCTTTTTGTTCAGGTTGCTTGTTTATGTTGTTTTTATTCTTTCCTTTGCTTGGTTTTGCTTTCTTGCTCTTTTCTTCCCATTTTGATTATGCTAGAGATTCTATTTGTCTCTTCCATGTGCATAATTTCTTTGGTTAATCTGTGGAAACAAAAACTTATTAGATTCCTAAATATAAGGAAACTTCTCTTTAAATTCGACAAATTCTACTGCTTTTTGTGCTCATATCCCCGTAAAAGGTAGCTTAACCTTATGCTGCTTTCCTTGCAAGTTGCAACAATATTGAAGTGGAACCTAAAAACACTGTTTAATGGTGTGTTAACATAGGTATCAATCAGAAAGTAATATGAACCATTTGGAAAGGCAATTAAAAAAAAGGGTATAACCTGCAGAAAAACTAACTGAAATAACAACAAGCTCTAACTCATTAAGCACTAACCTGCAGAAAAACTAACTCTGATACACAAAGATCTTCTACCTTCTGCAAGCTCTAGATTACCGACTCTCAATGGGGCTCGAGTACTGTTTTGGTGCATGCTCTTGTGAAGGCAGGGACATCTGTATTAATACTATTAGCTGGTGGAAATCTGATTGGATTCTCCCATTAGAAACCCAATTAGAATATAACTTGTACCCCTAGCATCTGTACACTTATGTCAATATTAATAGGATTAGGATTCCTAAACTCATAAGGATTCTTTATTCACATCTGTATGAGTTTACTGGACGAGTTTGTATTAATCTCTATGTCTGCAAACATGAGTTCAAGATTGATTCAATGACTGTGATGTCCTATACAAGCTTACACAGGCGACTACTCAAGCCTGCCTTTTGGAATTCTGGTACAGTTCATTGCGGCTTTACTTCCTTTAGGATGGCTTTGTAATTTACCCATGTCAAGCTGTTGTTGGGAAGGAGAGGAAGAGAGGTTTGAGTAGAAGAAGTCAGAAAAGTAGAAGGTTCAGTAGAGTGGTATATGGTTCAGTTTTTATCTACAGACGCGAGAGAGAATCTGAGGCATAAAAGTGAAAGAACTACTTTTATTTTCTGATCAACACTTGTTTTCATAAAGCCGATTGAAAGTGGGAGCAATATGCAGGATTACTCGAAAGTGGAACTGCAACCTGAAAGTGGAAGAAGTAGAGGAAGGAGCTAGTAGAAAATTTCTACTAGAAACCAGTTACCAAGAACCTAGCCAAATGATTTGGGAGACATTAATCAAATTTCCCACCCAATATATTTGTGGAATGGTTTGAACCCATACAAATGTGGTGTTAGAGTTAAAAGTAGCAAAAATAAAAAATATAAATTAAACGCCCACCGTGGGGCTCGAACCCACGACCACAAGGTTAAGAGCCTTGCGCTCTACCAACTGAGCTAGACGGGCTTGTTGCTATTATTGTCGTTTTCCTCTTGTTATACTGAAGCACGTGCCTTTTTTATGTGGCGCCAAATGTAACAGCTTGTTTAACTGTCATCTGTTGACTGATCAGTGTGGTTGTTTTACCCATTAAACTTCTCTTCCTCTCTATATAAACAAACTCCCTACATTTTCCTCTGTAACTTGCAAATCAAATTCCAAATCTCTGAGCTTCCTAGAAACCAAGAATCAGAGAAACCAAACACCATGAACCACCACCACCACCAAAACCATCTACCATCTTCCTTGCCCAGCAACCCTAACCCAGAACCAGACCCTTCTCTCCCTTGCAATGGCTACCACAAGATCTCTCTCCCTCTTCTTCGCCGCTGCATGTCCGATCCTTGCAACCCTCCTTCTGCCACCGCCTCCAACCCATCATTCTTTGATCCTTCTCTTTCCTCTGCTTCTCGCTGTGGCGGTTCTCTGCCCAATTTCACTCCTCCGTACTCTCCTGATGGCCACCACTGCCCCAAGACTCCATCCCATTCCCCGACTCATGTACTGCCTCCCCTGCCTCCTCCTCACACCTTCCGCCGCTCCGTCTCGGATATCAATCCCTCTCCTGCCAAGGTCTCCTCACGCTTCTCCACCTCCTCCCAAGACCTGGGCACCGACATTGACACTCCCAATTCCAAGGTCGGAAAATTTTCTTGAATTTCATTCTCTAATGTTCTAATCTGTGAAAAGCTTGAGTCTTTCTCTCTTTTTGGGGTTTTTGCTGATATGGGTTTTGGGGAGTTTTATGTTGTAATCTGTGAGAAAGCTCGGTTCTTTATTGTTTTATTTTTGAGTTGTTATTGAAATGGGTTTGGGGAAAACTGTTGTTGCAGAGGCTGAGGAGGATGAAGGATCGCCTCAGAGAGATGAGCCATTGGTGCCAGCAACTGATGCGTGAAGAGGACTTGATGGAAGAAGATGAAGATGAGCAACAGCAGGCAGTGGAAGAAGAAGCACAAGTACAGGCTGTTGATGCCACTGATCAAGATTTTCATAACAATACTGGTGCTGCTGAGGTATTGGGTTCTCTGTTTAGTTTTCAAGAATACCGGGTTTCCCACAAACAAGATCACAAAGAAAATGAAAAAAAAGATAGAAATATGATTTCTTGGGTCTTAATAATCTAACATCAAGTTCAAGATAGAAAATTTGATTTCTCTTCCATATTTCATGGCTTTCTAACCGATCAATGAAACCAATCACTAACTTTGTATTTTCAGATTCTTGAATATGTGAATTAAGCATTTTTGTTGTTGTGGCAGGATGAGTGTGAGAAAGAATTTGCTGAATCTGTGAGCGTGGAGAAGAAGGATGACTGCTTGGTCATTCACTTCAGGTGTCACTGTGACAAAGCCTATCAGTTCCTTCTCAGTGGAGGAGAGTGTTACTACAAGCTCATGTAGATATCCATTTCCCAGTTGTCCAATCATTCTTGGGTTCGGATTTTTCATACCCAATTCAGTCCCACTGGTCTCATTCTTAGGTTGTTCCATTCTTGATCATAGTTTCCAGATGTCAATTCTCTTAAGACATTCTTTTTGGCTGAAGCACTGATGTACAAATTCTTTCTGATGTCAGTTTTTCAAATGAATAAAGTTTACTGATTCTCTTGTGAATGAATGTATGATCCTTCTTTTGAGGCCATGAGTGAAATTTTGAGTTGAAAAATCATTCTGCTTTTATATGATTTGATTTATATTCTCAGGAACCAAAAGAATCAAAGATAGGTATCTCAGAAACATCTGAATAGTTAGGCATCTCAGAAACATTTTCATGCTGATTTCAGTCATTTTGCATATCTCGCAACTGAATGGGAGTAGACTAATTATAATCTTGCTCCACCTTCAGCAATTCTGAGCATGTGCATGCAGTGGTACCAGTGTGTACCTTACTTTATATATTTGGGTTTGCTTTGTTCAGTGAATGCTAACCGTGAAATAAACGAAGGCATGATGCCCAGGGGCTCAAATATTCATAATTAAAAATAGACACGATCTGGGCACTGTCTTGGAGAGAGGCTCGGGGAAATAGACATGTCTGTGAAAGTGCGGACTACCTGCACCTGAATAGAAAACCCTATGAAGCTTCACTGTTCCCTGGAATTGGCTTGAAAGAGGAATACAACTACAAGGTTCGACATACTTTCTCAATTTCAGGTCCTACCCACAGCTACCATAACAAAAATTCAGTAGTTTACTTGTGAAAATTGCATTCCAATACGAACATTGTAGTAAAATCGTAATAAATTTCCAAAAGAAAAACACTCATTTCAATATTGTACGTGCAGTTTATCGAGTATGCCAAAAAATGTATATATTTAAACTTTGTGTTTTATGTTTTTACAAAAAGAACTAGAAAAAATCATATTATTGCTTATGGACTCGAGTTTTCTAATTGTTGTTCAAAGATTCTGAAATGCACATAAATATTCAACTCTTACTTGATTGACTTCAAAAAGAACATTTAAATCTAATGGTGATATATTTTAACATGCCTTGAAATATTATTATAAGATTCCCACGGAACCACCGAAAACTTGAATTTGGAATGCGATAGAATTATCATAATGTGCTCTCGGTGTCGGTGTCAGTGCTTCATTTTATAAGTAATAAAATAAGGAAATTAAACCTGTTGGCTTTTAGATTATTAAGCTTCTCACTCACAACTCACAAGCACAAGCAAAAATTTTAAAAAAGAAATTACCTTGCCATCATAGCATCGGTGTTGGGTTTCACCGCGGTTCTCCAATTACAAGGGAAGGTACATGTTGAATTTTATAGAAATCCTCTCTATCTTCCTCAATCTGATGGTGGAGTTCTCTAGGCATCCTTCTAATAGTTAATTCCCTGAGATTAGTAAGATATCTCAGCCCATCTGGAAGTGTCGTCAATCCCCTGCAATTTTCGATGTGCAATCGGCAGAGACTGGGTAGGGCTCCTTCCTCTACCCTCCACTCTGTTATTTCGGCCAAATTATGAACATCAAGAAATTGAAGAGAAGGAAAGCCTCCTTTGGAGAAAACCAGTATCTTTGTATTCTCATGGAAAGCTTGATACGGCAGAGACTGGGCATGGCTCCTTCCTCTACCCTCCACTCTGTTATTTCGGCCAAATTATGAACATCAAGAAATTGAAGAGAAGGAAAGCCTCCTTTGGAGAAAACCAGTATCTTTGTATTCTCATGGAAAGCTTGATATTGAAGGCAGAGAGTTGTTAGGTTTGGCAGCTTCTGTAGTATTCCCATTTGGTCCTCCTTGAGACCACACCTATACAATTCTAACTTGGTGAGGTTTGTATAGTTGTGAAGCTCTTTCGGTAATTCTGCGATTGGCCCTTCCAACTTCAATTTGTATATACCCCGACAGCTTAATACTATTTGAATAGCTTGCTCTTCACCGCTATTCATTTTGTTATCCACAAGTAGAGACCGGATACGGTTAAGCGTGCTACCTGTAGATTTTAAGATTTCCTCCAGATTTTGCAAAGAGCTTGACACTCTTATTCTCAGTTTTCTAAGATTGGTTAATCTACCAACATCTTTCAAATCACAATACTCACTTGAAAGGTTATATAAGGTCTGTAGATGGCCAAGAGAAGACAGCTCCAGCTTACCCTTTACTCTGTAATACCATGGTAAATATAAATGTCTTAATTGTTTCATCTTCATTATCACATTTGGGATGACCATGTCGTCATAAAGTGATGAAACACGAAAATCAAGAGTTTGCAAGCATACTAAATTACCTAGGGATGGCGGAAACCTTTTTATTTGGCTATGCCTCACACTTAGAAACCTTAAGTGTAACATATTTCCAATTTCACTTGGCAACTCTAATTCTACTTTATCAAGACCTTCAACCTTCAAAACTCTAAGCACTTTGAAATCCTTCAACGGAGATAGTAATCCTTTTTCACTTTTTGGCATCCATTCTTCTAGGCCAAACAATAATAGAGACCTTAAGTGCCCATTTGTTTCATCTCTTGAAGAAACCAACTTATTTGCCTTCTCATCCAAGTAAATTGCAAGTCTTCGAATTTTCCCCAATTGTGTTGCCTCGGCTGCCACTGAAGAAGTATTTTCCTGCAAAGAATACTTAATCTGGAGAAAGCTTTCTTCTTTTGCCTTTAACAAACACATGTCTCGTACAAGATCATGGATTCGACAACTTTTAATTGTCCCAGTTGAACCACTTGTTCCCACTTGAACCAAGCACCTTTCCACCAACTCACTTAAGCAATCACGTGCTATATCCTCCATTGTTTTCTCCGAACCATGTCTCTTTTGTCTCAAGAAGATAAGACATTCTGCCACCCATAACTTAGTCAATGTGCTTACCGGAATAATACAATCTTCAGGATAATGACCTAAATATAAAAAACATGGTTTGAAGTGATACGGTAGGTCATCATAACTCAATGCCAAGACCCATGATGCACCTTCATATTCTTCTTCATGACCTATCCCTTTCCTTATGTATTCATGAACATTCTCATGCACTCTCTCCCACTCTCTAACAGTGTTTTTTCTTGCTAGAACTCCGGCAAGCACAATAATGGCTAATGGCAAACCTTTACAATGTTGAAGCATATTTGTTCCTAATTCTCTTTTCTTTTTGTACATTCCCAAATCTAAAAATAAGAAGAAAAAAAAAATCAAATACATTCTTGTAGTATGAGCATGCCAAGGAACAAAAACAAGAAATTAAGGACATGACAGATGATGAAATAGCAAAGGATGCCAATTAAGACATTTAAATTGTGAAATCCCGAAATTTACTAATATCCGTCGTCTTATTATAAGTTTGGATTTTCTAACACATACCAAACATTCAAAAATTAAATCTGGACCAACACAAAAAAGTTTGGGATATGTTTGGATTTAAGAGAAGGTTGGGAGAAAATTTTGAATTGTCTAGCATTGTCCTTATTATTATTTGCAATTGCATAAGATAAATCATCTGCTACCAAACAAATATGTGACCAAGTAAGGCAGTTTATAAAATTGCAGTTACCACTTGCTCTCTTTTTTTTTTCCTTCCAAAAATTGCTACATGTTTGACAATATTAAAAAATTGTAAAGAGTAATATGCAATGTAATGGTTTCTATGTGGCTCGCTATATAACTAAGAACCTGGAAAAGAAAAGAGTAAGGGTGAGAAAATACCGATATCAGCCTTTTCAGATATTGCTTTCTTCTCAAGTAATTTCCAACTCTCATTCTCATTGAGTGGTTGGAGTTTGTGGAGAAAAGCATTTCTATTTGGGAGCGTGGCTACTGCTTGATTGCGTGTAGTAAGCAATATTGTGCTCTCTGTTTCCACATTTGGAAATGCAGCCTTCAAAAGATTCCATGTCTCGATTCTCCATATGTCATCAAGTATCACCAAACATCTCATTTCTTGCAGAAGAAGGAAAAGCTTCTTTGCTATTTCATCATCTGTCATGTCCTTAATTTCTTGTTTTTTTTCCTTGGTAGCAGAAATGAGTTCAATTAAACTTCCCTCCCAAACATTTCTTACTTGACACCGTTGAGATACACAGACCCAAGCAAAACTATGAAAATGTTGCCTTACTTTTTTGTCATGATAAAGCTGTCTTGCAAGGGTGGTCTTCCCTAAACCGCCCATACCCCAAATAGATACAACTCGATGACGATTTTTATCTTTCACTAAATGCATAACCAATTCTTCAACGTTGGACTCTAATCCAACAACATCACGTTCAACAACATGAGAATAACTTCTCCTTAGCCTCTCATGCAATTGCAAGGAAGATTCACCACCACCACCACCGTCTCTGTCCGTTGTTAGTTCCTTTATGTTATACTTCTGCAAACTTGACCTCAAATCAGAAATTCTGGTGGTGATATTCTCAATTTCGTTCCCAATCCTGGGAACATCAACCCCTTCCTTGAAGATGCAGGCAAATCTTTTGAAAACATTCTTGGGGCCTCTTTTCTTCTGGGAAACCACTTTCAAGCCATAAGTTTGGATGACATCCTCCAAATCATAAGCAGCATCTCTAATCTTGGCAACCCAAATACGGACTGTTTCATCTTGTCCTTGTCTTGCATCTGCATCTTTGAGGAAGCCCTGCATCAATTGTAGCTCAGTTTGTGCGACCTCAATTTGATGGCTGACTCCAGACAAGAACTTGGCTTCCTGAGTTGTGAATTCTCTTACATTTTGGAGCACAAATGAAACAACTGCCTCAGCCATGCTCTCTGCTGCTTACTCTCTCTTTCGCTAAAACGAAAACAACAACTAAACCTTCAGATCTAATTTCCAGCCAATTGGGTCAATCTGAACCCAACAAGAACTCATCAACTTTGTCGTTTTCTGACCCCCTTGTTCTAAAATATAATGTAATATGTAAGCTGTAGTAGGTGAACCAGGATTAGTTTTAGATTGATTTAGCAATTTCTATCTGTCTATGTCCAGTAAACTAATAAATAATCGTCCCAACATCTCTAAAAATTAAAATAATAATAATAATAGTCAACATTGGCGTTTGCTGACCACCTTCCTCATCAATAATATATATTTGTGCAACCACTGTATCGCACACACCAGACAACCTTCAGGAATCTTCAAATAAATTATTCTTCCATAATTGGTGCAAGTTGTATAATTTAATCACTTTCTCTTTAACCATTTATTAGTTCATTTTCTTTAAGAACTTATTTTTATTTTTTTCCAACTTTGCCTGAGTCGTTAATTCTACTCACCAGAATACGCGGGAGGTATTCTGAGTCGTTAATTTAATCACTTCCATACTTGCTCGCTTGATGCAAGTGGGAGGTATGACTCTCCAGAATATGTCAACGTCGATTTCAAACCAGATTTCAAGGTGTCTTCCGTAATGGAAGTTTTCACTCGCTATTGGAAGCACATTTTGACCTGTCACCTTGATCCTCAAACCTGTTGCGGACAATCTTCACATTCGATCTAGAAGAGGCCTTATTAGTAGTCTGTACGCATTATCTAGAAAAGAACTAGGTTGCAGCACTTGTTTTATGGCTTGCTCTTTGCTCCCCGAAACGATTAGAAGCAAAGAAACTGCAACCTGAAAGTGAAAGAAGAAGAGGAAGGAACTAGTAGAAAATTAGCAAAAAGAAGAAGAAGAAGTGGAATGGTTTGAACCCATACAAATGTGGTGTTAGAGTTAAAAGTAGCAAAAATATCCATTTTCCTCTGCAACTTGCAAATCAAATTCCAAATCCCTGAGCTTCCTAGATACCAAGATTCAGAGAAACCAAACACCATGAACCACCACCACCACCAAAACCATCTACCATCTTCCTTGCCCAGCAACCCTAACCCAGAACCAGACCCTTCTCTCCCTTGCAATGGCTACCACAAGATCTCTCTCCCTCTTCTTCGCCGCTGCATGTCCGATCCTTGCAACCCTCCTTCTGCCACCGCCTCCAACCCATCATTCTTTGATCCTTCTCTTTCCTCTGCTTCTCGCTGTGGCGGTTCTCTGCCCAATTTCACTCCTCCGTACTCTCCTGATCGCCACCACTGCCCCAAGACTCCATCCCATTCCCCGACTCATGTACTGCCTCCCCTGCCTCCTCCTCACACATTCCGCCGCTCCGTCTCCGATATCAATCCCTCTCCTGCCAAGGCCTCCTCCCGCTTCTCCACCTCCTCCCAAGACCTGGGACCTAACATTGACACTCCCAATTCAAGGTCGGAAAATTTTCTTGAAATTCATTCTCTTATGTTTTAATCTGTGAAAAGCTTGAGCCTTTCTCTCTTTTTGGGTTTTTTCTGATATGGGTTTGGGGAAATGTTGGTTTTATGTTGTAATCGTTGAGAAAGTTCGGTTCTTTATTGTTTTCTTTTTGAGTTGTTTTTTAAATGGGTTTGGGGAAAACTGTTGTTGCAGAGGCTGAGGAGGATGAAGGACCGCCTCAGAGAGATGAGACATTGGTGCCAGCAACTGATGCGTGAAGAGGACTTGATGGAAGAAGATGAAGATGAGCAACAGCAGGCAGTGGAAGAAGAAGCACAAGTACAGGCTGTTGATGCCACTGATCAAGATTTTCATAACAATACTGGTGCTGCTGAGGTATTGGGTTCTCTGTTTAGTTTTCAAGAATACTGGGTTTCCCACAAACAAGATCACAAAGAAAATGAAAAAACAGATAGAAATATGATTTCTTGGGTCTTAATAATCTAACATCAAGATAGAAAATTTGATTTCTCTTCCATTTTTCGTGGCTTTCTAACCGATCAATCAAACCAATCACTCACTCTGTATTCTCAGATGTCACTGTGACAAAGCCTATCAGTTCCTTCTCAGTGGAGGAGAGTGTTACTACAAGCTCATGTAGATATCCATTTTCCCAGTTATCCAATCATTCTTGGGTTCGGATTTTTCATACCCAATTCAGTCACACTGGTCTCATTCTTAGGTTGTTCCATTCTTGATCATAGTTTCCAGATGTCAATTTTCTTAAGACATTCTTTTTGGCTGAAGCACTGACGTACAAATTCTTTCTGATGTCAGTTTTACAAATGAATAAAGTTTCCTGATTCTCTTGCGAATGAATGTATGATCCTTCTTCTTTTGAGGCCATGAGTGAAATTTTGAGTTGAAAAATCATTCTTCTTTTAGATTATTTGATTTATATTCTCAGGAACCAAAAGAATTAAAGATAGGTATCTCAGAAACATCTGAATAGTTAGGCATCTCAGCATCATTTTCATGCTGATTTCAGTCATTTGCATATCTTGCAACTGAATGGGAGCAGACTAATTATAATCTTACTCCACCTTTAGCAATTCTGAGCATGTGCATGCAGTGGTGCCAGTGTGTACCTTACTTTATATATTTGGGTTTGCTTTGTTCAGTGAAAGATTTTCTTTGAAAAAACAACAAAAAGTCAGAGGAAAACTTAGAAATCAATAATGGTCTCGTCTTGAGTAAAGGGTACTCAAAAGAATGAGACTTTTGCTTACATGAGGGGCACTTTCCCCTGGGGTTTGCTCTCGTCTTCTTGAATGAAGAAATGAAAAATAGGGTGAACATTACAACCATAACGCTATGAATTAGTTATAGTTTTGGTGACAACATTGCAATAAGTGGTAGCATTTGGAAATTAGAGGACGTTACATGCATCAATTGCACATTGTATTACTCTTGTTTTTAAGCAAAGATGATTTTTTTTTTTTAGTACAAGTGATTGGCCTTAAGCCCTATGGGCGAGGTTCAGAAACCCCATGCACCCAACAATGTTTGTGTATAATGCAATGTTAGTTGAGAAGTAATGTTGTTACACACCAAATTTCTTTATGAAGTCATATTTCCAAAATAATGTGTGTCAGTCATTTAGTTAAATTCAGGCCAAAGATTCCATTCATCTTCAACAATTAAGATGTTGACATGTGTGCATACACATGAGAGAGAAATTTTAAGATTTGATTGTCACACTATCACGTGATGTTATCAATTCATGTGTATATAGAATGTACATTATTGGATATGTAATTTACTTTTTCTTTTTTTTTTGTTGCAATTTTAGGGGAATGGCAACCAAAAGAAATGGGGTGATTGCTATGCTATTAATAGGGAGTTTTAATTACAATTATGGCAGTTAATGAAATGCTTGGAATAAATTATAAATAAAATATGAAGTCTGATGGTAAGGATGTAAAAATATAGGAATACTATGACCTATTATATCTTAAGTTTGAAATTGGGTTTTACACATAGATTTATAGAATGATGGGTATATGCCTAGGAAATAGAAATTGTAGGGACCTATATCAGACAAGCCCTAAAGAAAAAAATAATAATTCTGAACCCAACTCCAACGGTGGAAGAAGGCTGGAGACTTGATTAGATTACTAAATTATTTAGACAACGCCACATGCCCTTAACTTAGAAGCTCTACCGCTAAATAAAATTACTAAATTCACAACAAAATGACCCTGATATTATAATCCCACGCGCTTTGCTCCTCTACCAACCTTGCATTCGGTGCCTGCCGCGCGTGTGAAGCTCCCAACAGTCGTCCAAAAACAGACGGTCATATACGGAGCGTCCATATCCAACATGTCCCAATCAGTCCATCTACTACTCAGATCCTCTCCGCTGATTGGGTCGGGTCAGAGTCAGATCCACAAAATTGACCTAAAACAAATCTACATGTAGGGCCCACCCCCACACTCACCACTCCCGTGTGCTGGCCCCTCCCTATTTCCTCGGACCCACTCGCTCCACAGGGGCGCGTGTGAAACACATGTCCAAACCTCCCAATTTCCAGAAGACAGCAAGACAATACAGACAAGCAAAATAAGTACACCATAAACAGACAAAGACAAACCCACCTCCAAAAACAAGGTATCCATCAGCCTCAGCCTGAGCTAGAGGAGGAGGAGGGTCACACCATTCCTCCCCCACTGCAATTCCCAGCTGCCATGGGGTCAACTGACCCCATTTGTCCCTCTGTGCATCCGCCCCTGACTACAGTGATACACCTTTCTAGATCTCTCCATTAGCAACAAGCATATTCTTTCTTCTTCTTAGAGCGATTCAGCTGCCAGCTTATATTATTTATTAAAATAACAAAGTCTCTGTCTTTTCTACATTTCTACTTTTCCTCATTGTTTCACCCATACTGCATATACAATAGAAGCATGTAGAGAGTTTTATAGAGGCACCTCATTTCCATTTCTTTCTTGGTTTTGCATTTTTCTTTTTAGAAGTACCAAATTAGTAATTACCATGATTTATTCATCAGTTTCTTCTGAAAATCCATGGACAACAATCAGCCCAAAAGTCCTCAGACCTTCAACAAAGCAACGTCCTTTTCACTTAAATCCTATCCTTTGTTTTCACCGCCAAAACCCAGACACCATTAACAGCCCTGTGAACCCAACAGAACCCAAAACCCACCTCAGAAGCCCCATCTTGATAAACCCAACTCAAGTTATTTACAGAAAAACCAAGAGGAGCAGGATTCATGAGGAAAGAAGAGGTTTTCCCCATCTGGGTAGCCAGCAAATGTTGTTTCTGTGTGGATTTGGGTACTGGATGCAAGGTTTTAGGTGCTTTCCATGGCTGGCGTTGAACTTCCACATGGTTCACCGTCTTAACATGCACCCCTCAACATTGCAGCTCATACAGCATTCTGGTAACCTTCCCATGGTGGCCAAACCCTTTTATGGAATCCTCTCTGATGCTCTTTACATTTCTGGTGCGCATAGATTACCTTATATTTCCATTGGAGGTTAGTTACAATTCCCTTGCCTTATTTCATTGCTGTCATTCCGTTTTTGTCAATTTTGTTGATAGTTCCCTGTTTTAATATATTCATGTGCTCTGTTTTCTGTCATTGTTAAGTCATATTGTTTGTGCTTTTTGTTCAGGTTGCTTGTTTATGTTGTTTTTATTCTTTCCTTTGCTTGGTTTTGCTTTCTTGCTCTTTTCTTCCCATTTTGATTATGCTAGAGATTCTATTTGTCTCTTCCATGTGAACAATTTCTTTGGTTAATTTGTGGAAACAAAAACTTATTAGATTCCTAAATATAAGGAAACTTCTCTCTTTAAATTTGACAAATTCTACTGCTTTTTGTGCTCATATCCCTGTAAAAGGTAGCTTAACCTTATGCTGCTTTCCTTGCAAGTTGCAACAATGTTGAAGTGGAACCTAAAAACACTGTTTAATGGTGTGTTAACATAGGTAACAATCAGAAAGTAGTATGAACCACTTGGAAAGGCAATTTAAAAAGGGGGTATATTTGTCCTCTAAAAACCTATGGGCTATTTCTGATGGAGTTCAAATTTTCAGTTCTTTTACAGGTCCTATCTTGGGGGCCAATGGCAGTTATCCCTGTTGCAGCTAAATCCCTTCCTACCCTTATGGCATGTGTTCTTCTTAGCAATCTTGGAGCATCCATTACAGAAGTAGCACAGGATGCTCTTGTTGCAGAGTACGGGCAAGAAAAAAATATGAAAGGCCTCCAATCTTATGCATTCATGGCATCAGCTGCTGGTGGAATACTTGGTAACTTAATAGGTGGATATTTCTTAATGAAAGCACCACCAAGAACCATGTTTCTCGTATTTTCAGTGTTACTTTCCGCTCAACTTGCAATTTCATTGAGAATAAGAGAGGAATCTCTTGGTTTACCACAATTGCCAGATCACTATCTTACAAGGAAGCCAATATTTGAAAGTATTAGAAAACAATTTTCTGAGCTGATGATGGGAATTCAAGAGGAAAGTATTGTTCGTCCTCTTACTTGGATAGTAGCTTCTATTGCCATGGTTCCCGTCCTGTCAGGTTCCATCTTTTGCTACCAAACACAACATCTACATCTTGATCCTTCAGTCATTGGCATGTCTCGAGTGATTGGCCAATTGATGCTTCTTTCCACTGCCGTACTTTATGACCGTTATTGGAAAAAAGTTCCCATGAGAAAGTTGGTTGGTGTGGTGCAACTTGTGTATGCCTTTTCACTTCTTCTTGACCTTCTTTTAGTAAGACAGATCAATGTTAGACTGGGGATTCCGAATGAGGTGTTTGTTCTTTGTTTTTCGGGGTTAGCAGAAACTATTGCGCAATTCAAAATCTTACCATTCATAGTGCTATTTGCGAGTTTATGCCCTCGAGGTTGTGAAGGATCTCTGACTTCTTTCTTAGCATCAGCCTTGTGTTTATCATCAATAGCTAGTGGGTTTTTAGGCGTTGGATTGGCTTCTCTGATTGGAGTAACAGCAGGCGACTACTCAAGCCTGCCTTTTGGAATTCTGGTACAGTTCATTGCGGCTTTACTTCCTTTAGGATGGCTTTGTAATTTACCCATGTCAGAAGCTGTTATTGGGAAGGAGAGGAAGAGAGGTTTGAGTAGAAGAAGTCAGAAAAGTAGAAGGGTTGGTAGAGTGGTATATGGTTCAGTTTTTATCTACAGACGCGAGAGAGAATCTGAGGCATAAAAGTGAAAGAACTACTTTTATTTTATGATCAACACTCGTTTTCATATAGCAAGCCGATTGAAAGGATTACCCGAGTGAGAATCTGTAATGTAGAGGTGAATCAGCTACTTCATATGGTTGCATTTTAACGAGAGCAGGAGAAGTGAAGGTACGAGAGGAATCTAGGATTGCCTCAATGCTGTTCGTTTTCTCCAAACCGCTCGATGACTTAGAAAGAGGCTTCATCTCGGATATCAGTTTCAATCGTAGTTTCTGTGACAAAGCTGAAGTTGTTGCATCATGTTAAATGGTGCTGAACTTTGCAAAAAGCAGTCAGTATGTTGTAATATAACTTTTGTTTCACAAATCACATATGTATATACGATTGGTGCTGAGCTCAATGGAAACAGAAGAAGTTAACTTTGCAAAAAGCAGTCAGTATGTTGTAATATAACTTTTGTTTCACAAATCACATATGTATATACGATTGGTGCTGAGCTCTTATCGCATAACGAAAATGGAAACAGAAGAAGTTAAGGAGCTCCAGAGCTATGAGGTGCTTGATGTAAAAATTGGTAGAACAAGTACCTGGGATCTGCGTTGTGCATGTAAGTCTCTTCTCTCTTCTCTCTGCTCCCAAGTCCCATCTAACAGCCTCCTTTCCTTCGTTGTCCAAGTGCACAAGGTACTGGTAGCTTAAGCCACGAAAAGAAAGAAAGAAAAATAAAAAGCCTGATTGATATTCTCCTTTGTGTGGCACAAAATTTTCAGATATGTGCTAACTCTAAATTGGAGATGAGACTTAGGCGAACTCCAGCCTCCTACTTCCTCTTCCATAAAACCAAGAGTGTCTTCTTTTGTTAGAGAACTGGAGAAAATGACATGATACATATAACCATCCACATAAATTGTCACATCATTTTGTACAACTTTTTTTTAATATCTAACATCCCTTGCTGATAACAATTTGACTTAGTGGCACGCAATCTTTACTTTGTTGGAAGTCCTCAGAACTCAAATTTCACAGACGGCAATTGTTTCTGAATAGAAAAAGAAAAAGATCTCTAAAATCTCTTGTGCAGTAATTAAATGTCGAACAAATTTACCAATCATTCTTTTAAATTCTCCCACCAGCAGCTGGCAAGGATTTTGTAATATCATATCATATGGCACATGGGACCAAGTTGGGAATGCTAATCGTGAAATAAACAAAGGCATTATGCCCACAGGCTCAAATATTCATAATTGAAAACAGACACGAAAGAGGAATACAAATACAAGGTTTCGTTAAGGAAATTTTAATATAATACAATAATTTCAGTTGTGTAATATAAATGTACTGTTGGACAACCACTATACCCAAAAACTTATAAAGAACTTTGAACTAGTTGACCACATCTTTGCTCCTCTTGATTTTCACAGAGCATTTCTTTCTTCTCCAGGTAAGTTCAGCTTCGCACGTGCTCACTCTGCTGCAGAGCTTCGACACACTCACTTCCTTCCCACCTGTAACACGAATTCAGCAGTTAACTGGACTTGAAAAAAAAGAATCCAATGGTGGTGTATCTTAACAAGCCTTGAAGAAGAATATACTAGGAAATTATTTTTAAAATTTGTGGAGACAAAGACTTCTTATAAGATTACCATGGAACTACGAAAACTTGAATTCAGAATGCAATGGAATTATAAATGGTCGATAAAGAAGGAAAACTAGATGTAAAGAGGTAATGGTGAAAAAAAAAAAAGCAAAAATATTTGGAAATTGGGAAATGATAAGGCTCGGGAGTCAGGACTCACAAGCAAAAATAATAAAAATGGACAAAGAAAACAAATCAAATATTATATAAGATATTTCGAATTTGGAATGCGATAGAATTATCAATGGTCTAAAAATTTCAACACAACTCACAGGCACAAGCAAAAAGCAATAAAAATGGAGAAAGAAAACATAGCTAAACAAGGGAGCCCATATTCTGTTGGCTTTTCTACTTTAATATTCTCTCGGTGCTTCATTTTATAACTAATAAACACAAACCAAACCACCCATTTCACTTTAAAATGCACTTTTTTTTTTAAAATTTAAAAATTAAAAGAAAGAAATTACCTTGCCATATAACTAGAGCTGGGCATATGGGACCGGAAACCGGCCAAACCAGTCGGTCTGGTTTGGTTTGGTTTGGTTTTTTTTGCCAACGGTGCATGAACCGGATCGAACCGGACCGAACCGGCCTTTATGGTTCGGCGTTCGGTTTTCAATTTCAGAAACCATCGGTGAACCGGACCGAACTGGGTATGTTAAATTATATGTAATTAAATAATTATATACAACCTTATTTCCATTTTCAACATTTAAGTAAATGTCTTTGTCATTTTACTTTTATTTATTTTTATATTACTCCATTTACTTAAGTTTACAAGGTTTTAGGGTACCCCCCATTTGGATTCAAATAAAAATACTAGAAAATCAAATTTCAACCAAATCAAATTATGAAAAATCGATTTTAGTGCAAAATACGATTTAGGCTAAAAATGATGGCTCATTAAGTCAATATATACTTCATACTAAAATCCCATAAAATCAAGTTTTCTTATTTGATGTGTGAGGAATAAAAGCCGCCAAAAATTATCTTGAGAAAATGATTATTCTGAAAACCCATTTTTCATACTTAGTCAATATTTTTACATAATGGTGAATGATGCACACCAAACCAAACCAAACCAAACCAAGCTAACCGGTTAACCGGTTCATTGATTCGGCGCACGGTTTGAATTTTCTCCAAACCGGAGTTCATGGTTCGGCGCACGGTTTGACCTCAAAACCGAACCAAACCAAACCGAGCCCACCCCTACATATAACAATGCTCGGTCCCACGATTCTCCAATTACAAGGGAAGGTACATGATGAATTTTATAGAAATCCTCTCCGTCTTCCTCAATCCGACGGTGGAGTTCTCTATGCATCTTTCTAATGGTTAATTCCCTGAGATTAATAAGATATCTCAGCCTCTGGAAGTGTAGTCAATCCCGAGCAATATTCAATTTTCAATCGGCAGAGACGACGCATGGCTCCTTCCTCTACTCTCCACTCGGTTATTTCGTTCATGTCATGAACATAAAGAAATTGAAGAGAAGGAAAGCCTCCTTTGGAGAAAACTAGCATCTTTGTATTCACACGGAAAGCTGCTCCTATAAGCTTCAAAATTGTTAGGTATGGCAGCTTCTTTAGTATTCCCATTTGGTCCTCCTTGAGACCACATGTCCACAATTCTAACTTGGTGAGGTTTCGATAGTTGCGGAGCTCTTTCGGTAATTCTGCGATTGGCCCTGCCAACGCCAATTTGTATATACCCCGATAGCTTGATACTATTTGCATAGCTTGCTCTTCACCGCTATTGTTGTCCACAAACACAAATAGATTTTAAGATTTTGAATTAGCTACAAGCGTGCTGCCTGTAGATTTAAGATTTCCTCCAGATTTTGCAAAGAGCTTGACTCACTTATTCTCAGTTTTCTAAGATTGGTTAATCTACCAACATCTTTCAAATCACAATACTCACTTGAAAGGTTATATAAGGTCTGTAGATGGCCAAGAGTAGACAGCTCCAGCTTACCCTTTGCTCTGTAATCCTTGGGTAAATATAAATGTCTTAATTGTTTCATCTTCATTATCACATTTGGGATGACCATGTCGACATTCCAAACACGAAAATCAAGAGTTTGCAAGCATACTAAATTACCTAGGGATGGCGGAAACCTTTTTATTTCGCTATCCTTCACACTTAGGAACCTTAAGTGTACCATATTTCCAATTTCACTTGGCAACTCTACTTCTACTTTATAAAGACCTTCAACCTTCAAAACTCTAAGCACTTTGAAATCCTTCGACGGAGATAGTAATACTTTTTCACTTTTTGGCATCCATTCTCTTAGGCCATAGAATAATAGAGACCTTACGTGCCCATTTGTTTCATCTCTTGAAGAAACCAACCTATCTATGTTCTCATCCACGTAAATTGCAAGTCTTCGAATTTTCCCCAATTGTGCTGCCTTGGTTGCCATAGAAGAAGAAGTTAATGGATTAGCTGCCTCGTTTTCTTGCAAAGAATTGTTAATATGTGTTCACCCGTTTTGATTTGTTTCCTGTGATGGTAGGGTAAAGTTCCCCATTAATCCAAAGACCATGGTTGGTCAATAAATTAACTTTCTTTGTGTGTCGAGCGTGCCACCGTTAGCAATTTTTCAATTCTAACAGACTTGAGAGTAAAAATAACTTGCGCCCCAAGCTATTGACTTTTGAACAAACGATTGTGAATTTGGGTGAGGAATATCTCCCAAGTAAGTTCTTTTCTATGCCTTAGACTGATAAAGACTTCACAATTTTTCACAGTATAAAACTGGTAGTTCTGGCCAGAATGAATGATAACAGAGTGAACCGCTTTCAGGCAGAACCCCCTTTTACAGAGCTTAAAAAGGGAAAATTGACTATAAAAAGACAAAAAGAGGGTTGTGCTTCCATTTCTGTCTGGGTAGACGCCTTTGTTCTGGGCTGGACTGGGTACGCCTGTGCTGGACTGGATCTATTTCAAGCCCTGGAAGGCTTTTGGATGGGCAGAACTGGGATTCCTCCAGTCTGAAAGGGGCAGAAGTGGCTGGACTTTGAACTGGAACTGTACTGTGGTACCTGTGCTGCTTAGTCAGGGCTCTCCATAAATTTGTCGAGGTTTTCGTACTTGTGAAAAACTCAAACTCTGCTTGCCTTGACTTTGCTGAACCAAATTTGTAACGAGAGAAATCTCGTTTTGCTATTTTGTGAACTGGGATTCAAATCAGACGCAATGTTCTAGCTGTCTTTCCTGGGTATAGGCAGGATGATTCTACAAGCTTGTCATGAAGCTTTTTGAGATTGAAATGTTTCAGACTTTGGGTCTGTTTGAATCTGTTTGAAGACTTTCTGAGATCAAGTGATCATCTTGAGAGTTTTGTCTTTTGACTAAGTTTTTGGTTGTGTTGATTGATTGATTTTAGACTGTTCACCTCCTCTCATTTTTATAGACAATGCTGGAGTGGGATTTTTCTAATCTTTTTAAAAGAAATGGGCGGCAGATTCTCTAAAACAAGATATTTCTATTTTCTAAGTGTTTAAAAAGGGAAGTTATCCTTTTGTAGCAAGTAAACCGTCAACAGTCTGTTTTCTAAAGCCATCACTTCCTGTTTTCTTCCTTTTTACGATTTCAAGACTGCTGTGATGGTTAGTTTGATCTTCCAGATGAACAACTCTCTGTATCCCACTTATCTCTTTAGAAAATGTAGTCTGCCTATCTCTTGGAAGTGATGCCTGCCGATTTTTCTGTTTATAGAAAAGGATTTTGATCCTACTTTCCCTGTAAAAGACTGGAGAAATCCTTCTGCAAAGAATATCTTCATTAACTCCCTGTAATATCTAGTCGAAATTGTTGACTTTTCAACGTCAGATAGTCACGTGGGTTCCTTCTGTTTGTCTTGTTCCTGGGCTTTCGAGAGAAACAGTAGAGCTGTTTGTTTTGGGCTTAATTTGTTTCTTCCAAGGCCCAAGCCATTTGTATAGTTTCTGGGCCTTTAATTTTGCATATTTCTCTTTGGCCCTAGTCATTTGGTGGCTGTAAAAAAAAAATGGCGTGGGCCTTTTGACTTTGGACTGGGCGCACCAAATTTAGGCCCAAACAATATGAAGAAAGCTTTCCTCTTTTGCCTTTAACAAACACATGTCTCGTACAAGATCATGGATTCGACAACCTTTAATTGTTCCAGTTGAACCACTTGTTCCCACTTGAACCAAACACCTTTCCACCAACACACTTAAGCAATCACGTGCTATATCCTCCATTGTTTCCCTTGAACCATGTCTTTGTTGTCTCAAGGAGATAAGACCTTCTGCCACCCACAACTTAGTCAATTGGCTCACCAAAAACTCATAGTCTTCAGGATAATGACCTAAATATAAAAAACATGGTTTTAAGTAATACGGTAGGTCATCATAACTCAATGCCAACACTTGTGATACACCTCCATATTCTTCTTCACGACCTATGCCTCTGCTTATGTATTCATGAACATTTTCATACACTCTCTCCCATTCTTTAATGGAGTTTTTTCTGGCTAGAACTCCGGCAAGCACAATGATGGCTAATGGCAAACCTTTACAATATTGAAGCATCTTCCTTCCCAAGTCTCTGTACATTCCCAAGTCTGAAAAATAGGAAAGAAAAAAAAATTAAATACGGACTTGTAGTATGAGCAATCGTAATGGATATTCCTTGCTCGAATGACTTAAAATCAAAATTGTGAAATCCTGAAATTTACTAATATTCTTTATCTTATTATAAGTTTGGATTTTATAATACATGCCAAATGGAAAACATTTAAAAATTAAATCTGCACCAACACATAAAACGTATGGGATATTGTTGGATTGAAGAGGTGGCTGGGAGAAAATTTTGAATTAGCTAAAATTATCCTGATTATTATTTGCAATTGCATAAGATAAATTACTAAAATTTATAAAATTGCTACATGTTGGACAGTATTCAAAAATTGTAAAGGGTAATCCCAACAATGACTGAAAAAACACTACATAAGTTGTGTCATATGCAATATAATGGTTTCTATGTGGCTCGCTATTTAACTAAGGAACTGGAAAAGAAAAGATGAAGGGTGAGAAAATACCGATTTCAGCCCTTGCATGTATTGCTTTCTTCACAAGTAGTTCCCAACTCTCATTCTCATTGAGTGGCTGGAGTTCGTGGAGAAAAACATTTCTATTTGGGTGCAAAGCTACTGCTTGATTCCGTGTAGTAAGCAGTACTGTGCTCTCTGTTTCCGCATTTGGAAATGCAAACTTCAAAAGATTCCATGCCTCGATACTCCAAATGTCATCAAGAATCACCAAACATCTCATTTCTTCCATGACACGAAAAAGCTTTTTTGCTATTTCATCATAAGTCATTTCCTTAATTTCTTGTTTTTGTTCCTTGGTAGTAGAAATCAGTTTAAACAGAATTCCTTCCCAAACATTTCTTACTTGACACTGTTGAGATACACAGACCCAAGCAAAACTTCGAAAGTGGTGCCTTATTTTTTTGTGATGATAAAGCTGTCTTGCAAGGGTGGTCTTCCCTAAACCGCCCATCCCCCAAATAAATACAACTTGATGACGATTTTCATCTTTCACTAAATTCATTACCAATCCTTCTACATTGTTCTCTAACCCAACAACATCACGTTCAACAACATGAGAATAACTTCGCCTGAGTAGTCCTTGCCTCTCATCCAATTGCAAGGAAGATTCACCACCACCGCTATCCCTGTCCCTTATTTCCTTTATGTTATAACTCTGCAAACGCAATCTCAACTCCGAAATTTTGGTAGTGATATTCTCAAGTTCTGCCCCAATCTGGTGAAGATGAACCCCTTCCTTGAAGATGCAGGCAAATCTTTTGAGAACATTCCTGAGGCCTCTTTTCTTCTTCTTGGAATCCACTTTCAAGCCATAAGTTTCAATAATATCTTCCAAATCATAAGCCGCATCTCTAATTTTGGCAACACAAATACGGACTCTTGTATCTTGTCCTTGTCTTGCATCTGCATCTTTGAGGAATCCCTGCATGAATTCTAGCTCAGTTTGTGCAGCTTCAACTTGACGGCTGACTCCAGACAAGAACTTGGCTTCCTGAATGGTGAAGTCTCTGACACTTTCGAGCACAAAGGAAACAACTGCCTCAGCCATTCTCTCTACTGCTTACTCTCTCTTGGCCAAAACGAAAACAAGAAAACCAGATATAGTTTTTAGATTGATTGATGAGAATATCTCTTTATCAGTCTATGTATGAAGTCCAATTCCACTCGGCAAAAAGTAGTAAGCTTTGACGTTTTCGTTCTTTCTGACCACCTTCCCTTAATTATATATTTGTTCTAACTTTTTTGACAGCATCCAATGCAATTGAGGTAATGATTTCCCCACTTTCTTTTTATCCACTTACACTACTTTTGTAGTTATAAAATGGAGTGTAAGTGGATAAAATTGGAGTGGGGAAATGGTGACATACACCTTTATTAGAGAATGTACATATTGGCAGCCATTGAATTTACTTTAACAAAGTCAGACGACCAAGATTAAAAGAGGGCAATCTCTCTGTTATGTTTCAGCAGCTTCCGCGTTTCTCACTTTGATCATCATCCTCCTCCTCTCAATCAACACGTTAAGTTTTTTATGATGACCATATGGCCCCACTTGTGCAAAAGAAATTCCACTCAGAGATCCGTATATCCACCCACACATGACATATCCATTTAACCCTCCCTCCCTTTACTTCCCTTTGCTAATAATAGAAGGGCACAAGAGAAGGGCCTCATTGGAGGTAAATGTTTTCGATCTGATTAAATCCAAAAAGGTAATGGGCCAAATGAACCCCATTTTTCATTAACAAGAAACCTCAAAGCCCATTGTCAGTTCTAGTGTTCTTTGTATTATATTCTTGACTTTTCCCAACCAAATAAAAATTTGATATGCGTTTTTTATCCACGCAATGGTAGCGTGGATGGCGAACATTGTGGCTTTGGTCAATTGGCCAAGACAATGTGCCCGTCGCCTTGTATAGTGTAGTACATTGTCAATGGATTGAAGGGTTCGTATTAGTATTTACATATTTGGCTTAATTTATTTATAAAAAAATCAACGTATAAGATTATTTACATATTTGGCTTCATTCAGTTCGAAAAGCACAAACGAATTTACAAACTCATCATCATTGTTGCCCCTTCGACGCTTGTTACTCTTTTTTGTACTGCACTCTGTTACAGAAGGCCAACAGCGAATGTAGAGAGCAAATCCAGTACAGAAGGCCAACAGCGAACAACTCATTGCAAGTTCCGAAATTATTTTTCAACTTTTTTGGTCCATGTCAATGAAAGATGTTGTAACTAGATTCTCGTGCTAGACTCTTCTGCTGCAGAGATATTTGAGTAGTTTTCTAAAAAGATATGAGGTATCCACCCATAAGGTTCTCAACCTTTCCATTATTGGTAGTGTTGTCCTGGTCAAATGGAATGTTTCCCAAAATTTTAACTATATCCACCACAGCTCTTGTTACCTTCACTCTTAAGGACAAAAACCAGTGTTGGAAATAAAAAGTGTGGCCCGTTTTGACATCATCAACTTCTACTGTTTCCAAAGAAGAACAAAGACCTGAATCATTACTCGCTGCTAGCTCTTTGCTGTAAATATGCTCCTTGATATTACTCACTGCATCTTGGCAACCTAATAAATCATTACCGGAAGGTGTAAGATGTAATGTATGTGTCTCCAACCCTTGTTTTGGCAGAATCAGCAAATTGAACTAATGGCTTCACCAGCAGCTGCAGGAATTAGAACGAACCTTTAATACTAACTGCTTCAATATAAAAGTCGTAGCCAATCTCCTTGACACGCTGCATACACCCCGACTCTGTAAGCAGGCCAATTATTTTTTTCTGCCAGCATCCTCTTTGCACATTCAATGGTACGAAGTTCATGCTTCATTGAGTAATTATCAAGAGATATGCCTGAGTTTCTATCAGGTTGCAACTTCCCTCACTCTCATTTACCATGTTACCCCGAATTATTTGACAACGCACCAACAGAGAGTAGAGTGTGTATGTATAACATTCGAACAAGTTGCTTTGGCATACAAGTTCGACAGAAGCTTCACTTTGTCAAATACTTCGGTGGAGATGGCACCAGCTTCAGTGAGATTTTAGAGAAAGGCCACCAAAAACCTGTACACCTTAAGTAGAAGCTTTGATCTGATAATTCTGGTCTTCTCTCTTTTCACGTCTACTCTACACTGAACAAAAGCATCTGTTTCTGTAGTTGCAATGAGATTGTCATGCATATACGAGATTGTCAGTAGAAGAAGTCAAGTCCGAAAAGTAGAAGGGTCGGTAGAGTTGTATATGGCCCAGTATTTATCTACAGGCGTGAGAGAGAATCTGAGGCATTAAAGTGAAGGAACAACTTTTATGATCAACACTCGTTTTCAGGTAGCAACCCAATTGAAAATGGGAATCTATATTGTAGAGGTGAAGCGGCTACTTCCTTTGGTTGCATTTTAACGAGAGCAGGAGAAGTGAAGGTAGGAATCTAGGATTGCCTCAATGCTGTTTGTTTTCTTCAAACGCTCGATGATTTAGAAAGAGGCCTCATCTCAGATATCAGTTTCAATCATTGTTTCTGTAACAAAGCTGAAGTTGGTACCTCGTATTAAATGGTGCTGAACTTTGCAAAAGGTAGTTAGTATATTGTAATACAACTTTTGTTTCACAAATTACATATACGCATGCAAAATTGGTAGAGTTCCAGAGCTATTAGGTACTTGATGTAAAATTGGTAGAACATATACGCATGCAAGTCTCTTCTCTCTGCTCCCAAGTCCCATCTAATAGCTTCCTTTCCTTGTTTCTGCCCAGTGCACGAAGTACTGATAGCTTAACGCAGAAAAAGGAAGAAAGAAAGATAATAAGGTTGATTGGAGAAACTCTTAGTCTCTTCTGCTTGGTCTAAATTGGAGAGATAGGACTCAGGCGAACTCTAGCCTCCTCCTAATTTTATTCAAATATAAAATTATATCATATGGCACATGGTACCAAGTTGAGAATGCTAACTGTGAAATAAACAAAGGCATGATGCCCACGGGCTCAAATATTCATAATTGAAAACAGACACGAAAGAGGAATACAAGGTTTCATTGAGGAAATTATAATATATACAATAACTTCGCTTTGAACTACTTCACCACATCTTTGCTCCTCTTGATTTTCACAGAGCATTTCTTTCTTCTCCAGGTAAGTTCAGCTTTGCATGTGCTCGCTCTGCTGCAGAGCCTCGACATACTCAGTTCCTTCCTACCTGCAGCTAGCTGCCATAACACAAATTCAGCAGTTTACTTGACTTGCAAAAAAAAAAATATCCAATGGTGGTGTATCTTAACAAGCCTTGAAGAAGGATATACAAGGAAATTATTTTTAAAATTTATGGAGACAAATACTTCGTATAAGATTCCCATGGAACTACGAAAACTTGAATTCAGAATGCAATGGAATTATAAATGGTCGCTAAACTTGATGTCAATGGTGCAAAAAAAAAAAAAAAGCAAAAATATTTGGAAATTGGGAAATGATAAGGCTCAGGAGTCAGGACTCACAAGCAAAAATGGACAAAGAAAACAAATCAAATATTATTGTAAGATATTTGGAATTTGGAATGCGATAGAATTATCAATGGTCTCAAAATAAGGAAATTTAACCTGTTGGCTTTGAAGCTTAATTCTCACTCACAACTCACAAGCACAAGCAAAAAGCAATAAAAATGGAGAAAGAAAACATAGCTAAACAAGGGAGCCCATATTTTGTTGGCTTTTCTAATTTAATATTCTCTCGGTACTTCATTTTATAACTAATAAACACAAACCAAATCACCCATTTCGCTTTAAAATGCACCCATTTCGCTTTAAAATTTAAAAATTAAAAGAAAGAAATTACCTTGCCATCATTGCATCGGTGGTGGGTCCAACGGTTCTCCAATTACAAGGGAAGGTACATGTTGAATTTTATAGAAATCCTCTCCATCTTCCTCAATCCGACGGTGGAGTTCTCTATGCATCTTTCTAATGGTTAATTCCATGAGATTAGTAAGATATCTCAGCCCATCCGGAAGCGTCGTCAATCTCGAGCAATATTCAATTTCCAATCGACAAAGACGAGGCATGGCTCCTTCCTCTACCCTCAGCTCTGTTATTTGGTTCGTTCCAGAAACAAAAAGAAATTCAAGAGAAGGAAAGCCTCCTTTGGAGAAAACCAATATCTTTGTATTCTCCTCAAAAGCTTCTAATTTAAGCTTCAAAATTGTTAGGTTTGGCAGCTTCTCTAGTATTCCCATTTGGTCCTCCTTGAGACCACACCCATACAATTGTAACTTGGTGAGGTTTGGATAGTTGTGGAGCTCTTTCGGTAATTTTGCGATTGGCCCTTCCAACACCAATTTGTATATACCCCGACAGCTTGATACTATTTGCATAATAACTTGCTCTTCACCGCTATACATTCTGTTATCTACAATTAAAGACCGGATACAGAAAAGCGTGTTGCCTGTAGATTTTAAGATTTCCTCCAGATTTTGCAAAGAGCTTGACAGAGTTATTCTCAGTTTTCTAAGATTGGTTAATCTACCAACATCTTTCAAATCACAATACCCACTTGAAAGGTTATATAAGGTCTGTAGATGGCCAAGAGTAGACAGCTCCAGCTTAACCTTTGTTCTGTAATTCCAGGGTAAATATAAATGTCTTAATTGTTTCATCTTCATTATCACATTTGGGATGACCATGTAGATATACCCTGGAACACGAAAATCAAGAGTTTGCAAGCATACTAAATTACCTAGGGATGGCGGAAACGTTTTGATACGGCTATCTTTCACACTTAGAAACCTTAAGTGTACCATATTTCCAATTTCACTTGGCAAATATACTTCTACACTATAAAGACCTTCAACCTTCAAAACTCTAAGCACTTTGAAATCCTTCAACAGAGATCGTAATCCTTTTTTACTTTTTGGCATCCATTCACTTAGGCCAAAGAATAATAGAGATCTTACGTGCCCATTTGTTTCGTCTCTTGAAAAAACCAACCTATCTGTGTTCTCATCCAAGTAAATTGCAAGTCTTCGAATTTTCCCCAATTGTGCTACCTCGG